CGCCGCCCACTTTCAGCGCCCACTTTCGCCGCCCACTTTCGCCGCCCACTTTCGCCGCCCACTTTCGCCGCCCACTTTCGCCGCCCACATTCGCCGCCCACTTTCGCCGCCCACTTTCGCCGCCCACTTTCGGCGCCCACTTTCGCCGCCCACTTTCGCCACCCACTTTCGCCGCCCACTTTCGCCGCCCTCTTTCGCCGCCCTTTTTCGCCGCCCACTTTCGGCGCCCACTTTCGGCGCCCACTTTCGGCGCCCACTTTCGGCGCCTACTTTCGGCGCCCACTTTCGGCGCCCACGTTCGGCGCCCATTTTCGCCGCCCACTTTCGCCGCCCACTTTCGCCGCCCACTTTCGCCGCCCACTTTCGCCGCCTACTTTCGCCACCCACTTTCGCCGCCCACTTTCGCCGCCCACTTTCGCCACCCACTTTCGCCGCCTACACGTTGCCGCCCACGTTCGCCACGCACGTTCGCCGCCCCTTTCGCCACCCACTTTGTGGGGAAAGTGGGGTGCGAACGAAAGTGGGTGGCGAACGAAAAGTGGGCAGTGGGTGGCGAACCAAATTCATCGAAAGTGGGTGGCGAACGAAAGTGGGCGGCGAACGAAAGTGGGTGGCGAACGAAAGTGGGTTGCGAACGAAAGTGGGCGGCGAACGAAAGTGGGAAGCGAACGAAAGTGGGCGGCGAACGAAAGTGCTTCCGCCACGAAAGTAAACGTGGGTGGCGAACGAAAGTGGGTGGCGAACGAAAGTAGGTGGCGAAAGTGGGCGGCGAAAGTGGGCGGCGGAAGTGGGTGGCGAAAGTGGGTGGCGAAAATGGGCGGCGAAAGTGGGTAGCGAAAGTGGGTGGCGAAAGTGGGCGGCGAAAGTGGGCGGCGAAAGTGGGTGGCGAGAAAGTGGGTGGCGAAAGTGGGCGGCGAAAGTGGGTGGCGAAAGTGGACGGCGAAAGTGGGCGGCGAAAGTGGGCGGCGAAAGTGGGTGGCGAAAGTGGGCGGCGAAAGTGGGTGGCGAAAGTGGGTGGCGAAAGTGGGCGGCGAAAATGGGTGGCGACAGTGGGCGGCGAAAGTGGGTGGCGAAAGTGGGCGGCGAAAGTGGGTGGCGAAAGTGGGTGGCGAAAGTGGGCGGCGAAAATGGGTGGCGAAGTTGCTGGTTGCTTGTCGTGAATAAGCCGTGCCTTGTCGTGTTTCAGTTTTCTCTTGTCGTGTTTCAGTTTTCCTAGTCGTGAGAACACCCGAGCTTTAGAGGTCTCCAGTATGGCCAAAGATGGCCCCAAGTGGCCCCGAAGACGGCCCCAAGAGGCCCCGAAGACGGCCCAGGAGGCCTTTAAGACGCCCAAGATGGCCTCCAAGGACGGCCCTGGAGCACCCCAAGAGGGCCCCAAGCCGGCCCAGCCTCGCCCACCGTTTTCCCCGAACGCTTTCCAAACCGACTCGGGGAACACATGATGCGATAGCTTGGCAGGCCTCTGGCCACAACGTTCGGCCACACAGGCGTTTCCGAAAAGGCAGGGGGCGGCGGTGATTCGCCGTAGGCGTCTTCGATCCGCCGCCCCCTGTTGATTCATTACAGATGTGCCTGGCGTGCTGAATCCTGTCGTTTTGGGTTTTGGTTCTTTTTCCAAAAGAACTCCCCCTGGGGCTCCGGCGCGTCCCGCCGGCCACCCGAAAGGATGCCGAAAATTTGCCCGGACTGGGCTCCAAAGGGTTTTTCACACCTCAGGATGGCCTCCAAGATGCATCCCAGACGGCCAAGATGGCCCCCAAGACGGCTAAGATGGCCCCTAGATGCCTCCAAGACGGCCTAAGATGTACCAAGATGGCGTAAGATAGCCTCAAGATGGCCCAAGACGGCCCAAGAGGCCTCAATACGACCCAAGAGGCCTCCAAGGGGTGCTCCAGGAGGGCCCGAAGAAGAAAATCATAGATTGTCCGTGGGTTTTTGAAGGATTTTGGCATGTCCCTCTTCTCGGCAATCCGACGGTTCAAGACGACCCAAAAGGCCGCCAAGATCGCCCCACCATCGCCCACGAGACCTCCAAGAGGGCCCTATGACGGCCCAAGAGGCCTCCAAGACGGCCCCAAGACGGCCCAAGAGACCTCCAAGACGCCCAAGATGGCCTCCAAGACGACCCCGACGCGCCCCAAGAGGACCCCAAGTCGGTTCTGAGAGGCCACCAAGACGGCTCCCGACGGCGTCAGACGTGCCAGGAACCCACCAAGATGGCCGAAGTTGGCTCGAAGCTGGCCAAAGACGGCCCAAGAGGCCTCCAAGAGGGCCTCCAGGAAAGCCAGAAAGGGCCCTAAACACGGATGTTCCTAAGATTTTTGAAGGATTTTGACAGTTGCTTCGTTTCGGCCTTCCGACGGACCGAGACGGCCCAGGAGCCGCTAAAAATCGCCCAAAGATCGCCCAAGAGGCCTCCAAGATGGCCCCAGAACGGCCCAAGAGGCCCCAAGATGGCTCCAAGAGGCACCCAAGACGGCCCAGGAGGCCTTTAA